GCACTGCGCTGTGCAGGGAGGAGACAGCACATCTCCCACCACAGTTTTGGCATACAATGGGAAAACAGAACATGAATGGGAAGCTACAGGAGTATTAAAGGACAGAAGAATAGAAAAATAGGTGTAAGAGAAAAGGAAAGGAAATCAAAAGAAGTCTCAACTTAGCAAGGCAAATTAAGGCGCACAGTTCCTAAGGGACTGAACAAAGCTGAGAATGTCCCAGAGATGGGGTATCACGAAGGGTGTGTTCTCATGGAAAACCACAATTTCAGCCCACACGCATCCCACCTCAAGAAAGGCTGAGTACCACACCCAAACGTCATACTGCTCTTGCTGCTACTGGGTCATGTCATACAGAGGATTCTGTGGAGCTGCCAAAGCTTGGGATAACTCGCTCTCCTGCCCATAATTGCAGCCCTCTCCAATGGTGGGGACTGGAGCTGTAGCACAATGCAGAGGGCTCCAATCCCACCTGGTAATACAATGTGGAAGCTGCAGTAACAGCAGCGGTGGCAGCAGCTCCTGAGGTTGGCAACAGCTGTCTATTATAGGGATCGAGAGGTGGAGGTCATGTGACTGGCCATGGCTGTATTCTGGACTTGTGGCAGGGTCTACTCTATGTAATTATACACAGAGGCAGCTGCTGACACCACTGCCTCATAGAACCAGGCAGCACAGCAGCACATGTAGTAGACATGGGGCGCTCTGTATGCATTGTTGTAAAACAAGGAATCTGCATAGCTCCTGATGTAAGATGTACACGCTGCTCCATATTGCTCAGTCAAGTCTGCCATGTGGCCTAAATGATTTATCTGACACTGCTTGGACCAGTGCCCCTCCTTTCTGCATCAATAGCTGCTGCTCTGGTCTCCCATCCTGTGCAAAGTTCTAAGCCAGCTGGTGGACAACTGCACGTGCATTTGTTTGCCTTGAAACTCTGTGTTATCAAGGCCCCTGATGGCCTCCACTGCATCCTGTGCCTGCTCTATGTATACGAAGGCATTATCTTTTATGATGACACATTTGATGACCGGATCATACTCTTCAAACTTCGCTCGAAGCTCCTTATTTGTGCAGATGAAAATGATGTTGCCCACATACAACTTTGTTGAGGTTTTGCTCTTATTCTTGCTGGCTTCCACATTGATGTTTATCCCCATAAGCTTGTAATGGTGCAGGTTGCATATGGCATCTTCGCGACAGTTTTGTCTTCTATGTGCACAAAGCCATAATTCTTAATGTCACATTACAGCACCTTCCCATACTGCTCAAAAGAGAGCAGATCTGCTCTGTGGCCTCCCACGGCAGGTTTCAGATGAACAGCTTCACCATCCTGACAAGATCCTGCACAGAAATCAGAGACTCCTTGTGGTGCTGATGCTTCTGACCCTTTTTTTTAACTACTTTTATGATTTTTTTATTGTTGTCTTTAGCTTTTGAAAGTTTGATTGCTATGTGTCTTTGTTTGGAGGTCTTTGAATGTAACCAATTTTGAGCACAGTTATATTTTAGGATGTGTAGATTCATGACTTTTATGTTTAGAAGATTTTCAGCCATTATCCTTCAAATTTTCTTTCTGACCTTTTCTCTTCCTATTCTTTCTGGAGTTTCCATAGCCCTTATGATGGCAATGTCATGATTTCTCATTAGTATCTCAGGTCCTTATAATTTTTCTTAATTCTCTTTCTCTTAGTCAGACTAAATAATTAAAATTGAGCAGACTTAAATTTTGCTAATTCTGGTTTTTTTTCCTACTCATATCTGCTGTAGAGCCTTTCTGGTAAATTTTGTATTTCAGTGATTTTCATTTTTGACTTCATATTTTTAAATTTTATGATCACTATCTCTATTGAAACTTTAAGGAAACATCATTTTCCCATTTTTCTTTTTTTTAATGCTTTACTCTCTTTTTTAGCATACTTGTTGATTTAAAGAGGTTTTAATATCTTTCAATGTCTAGGATACCTCTTGGGCCTTTAGTCTGACATAATGCTGCAACTTCTGAATCTAACATGGAAGCAAAACCTAAGTATGTTGAAGGCACCACTATATGTTGGTGGCAGCTGTCTGCTGTTTGGTTCTGGACATTGAGATAAGTGTGTACCTCCACTAGATTATGCGTCGGGAGATAAAACAACAACGATTTTATCAACTAAACAATTTCTATTTTGTGAACGCATTCATATTAGTTGGTATTAGAGCAGTTTCTAACTCAGGTGTGAATTTCTGAGTATAATCTAAAAATGCCAAAAATGTTATTTTCATTGTCTTATTTATTTATAAGTTGGTATAGTTGTAAGTGACCTTCAAATCATAATTTAACATTTTTATTGAAAATCTGAACGCCTCGCAGTGTCCGCGGAGAACGGAGGGCTCTGCGGTTAGGAACAGCCGCCGCCACGGCGGGCACAGCAGCTCCGCAGCCTCCCGCCGCTGGGTAGTCAGCCCGGGGCTGCGGGCGGCCGGGGGCGGGCGCGCTCTGAGGCTCGCCCCTCACCGCCGTACCCGCGTCCTCCCTCAGCTCCTCTGGCAGAGAGGCGGTCGGTGCCTGCGCAGAGCCGCCTCCCCGCGTGCCGCCGCCGCCGCCGCTGCGCCTGCTGCTCCTCGCCGTTCCCGCTGCAGTGCGAAGGGCTCGAAGATGGCGGGCTGGCAGAGCTGCGTGGAGAGCCTCACGTGCGGCGGCTGCTGCCAGGAGGCCGCCATTGTCGGCTACTACGACGCCAAATACGTCTGGGCAGCCACGGCCGGGGCGTCTTTCAGAGCATTACGCCAATAGAAATAGATGTGATTGCAGGAAAAGACCGGGAAGGTTTCTTTACCAACGGTTTCTCTTGGAGCGAAGAAATGCTCAGTGATCAGAGATAGTGTGTACGTCGATGGTGACTGCACAATGGACATGCGGACAAAGAATCAAGGCGGGGAGCCAACATACAATGTTGCTGTCGGCAGAGCTGGTAGCGCATTGGTTATAGTCATGGCAAAGGAAGGTGTCCACGGAGGCACACTTAACAAGAAAGCATATGAACTCGCTTTATACCTCAGGAGGTCTGATGTAAGCAGCCTCTCCCCATCCACCTAGCAACTGTCTTCATCAACACCCCCAATTATGGTCACAATGCTACCAAACTATAGACGGTAGCTAATTTTTCTGTAGCTATCTTTTAATGTCATGATTCCTGTTTGCCCAGTGGATCATTTGTATGTTAACCACTGTATATAACCAACCCTTATCTGGCAACATAATTGCAGCACAATGATTTGCATGATACCTTGAAATTGGGGGGAGGGGGCATGCCAAGTTGGGCATCACTTTGTCTTAGCAATTAATGGGATATTGATTACTAAAATAAGTTAATATTAAGCAAGGTGCCGGTTGTACAATCTCTGATCAATGTCTTTTCAGCACTTTGAGCATTCACTTGGCTCATTTAGTCTTCTTTTGTAGCGCATGGTTGGGAGGAAAAAGTGCCAGCATCTTTCCTTCACTCTTCTCTTTTTCCCGCCCCCCGGCTCCCCCCCCCGTCCCCCCTCCCTTTGCCCATAGGCATTTGGTTTGCTTCCATCTTTTTTTATGCAGTGCCTGTTTTTTTAACCAATTAATATCTCTTTTGTTGATGAGCTATTGAGAGCTGCAGTAGTTGCTTTTAGTATTGCTGTTGCACTTGAGTAGAGACAAACCTTTATTCAGTGTCTACAGGACATATGAAGGGTGCAATGGCAAAACAAGAGCAAAAAGCATTTCCTCCTATGACCTTACAGCAAGCATACTGATTGAATCCCCAGGGGCATTCCATCATTACAATAGCTCAGACTTGTGTTCCTTTTTCTTTGCACACCAGCTCTACTCTTTAGTCAAATTGTAAAAGGCTGCCATTATGGACATAAAGTATCCCAACATAACCGTCTGGAGTGTGTCCAGTTTGTTCTTCATAGGACCAATTTTTATTTGCAGCTTGAGTTTTTATATGAAGTTGCATTATTGTGGACTTGGCTGTCTTGTGATGAATTGTTTTCATATGTATTCTGTGCCATACTATTGTTAAAATGAACTGTTGCTATTGTGAGATGGATTTTAACTGACCTATTAAGGGTTTCTTTCAAATGGCACTACTTTAGAGACATTCTAGTATTTGCTTCTATTGTTTGGGCCTTGTGGATAATGTACAGATTTAAAAACAAATCTTGCTGCTGATTTGTCCATTTCTTTCCCTGCACTTTGTTACATCTGGGATACGGTTTAACTCATCTGATTTAATATGCATTTTAAAAAATGCCATAACTATTAAGCACCTTGTTTACAGACAGATGAAATAAATTTATTCCAGCCAAAAAAAAAGAAAAAGAAAATCTGAGTAATTTATTTATTAATTTGTGTGTGTGTGTGTATTGTAAAGTTAGACTATTCTAAGCCCTGGATGAACTTAACTGGCTACAGTAATAGTGCCTACTGCTCCATTACCCTCTGCTCTGTTACAAGGTGCACAGAGAGGATCAGCTGTGGGAATTATTTCCTAAGTGACTGAACTGCCTGTTGAATAGTGCAAGAAACTTTAACCTGGGATTTCTCAACTGCAGTACTGTTGGCATTTTGGTCTGAATAGTCCTTTGTTGTAGGAGGCTCTCTTCTGCATTAAGAATGTACCCACTAGATGTCAGAGGCATACCTCTGCCGCCACCCAAAATGTCTCCAAAACTGTCTCCAGAGAGTGCCAAATATCCCCTAGATTGGCAGAAGTGTCCAATCTTTCGGCTTCTTGGGCTACACTGGGAGAAGAAGAATTGTCTTGGGCCACACATCAAATACACTAACACTAGCTGATGAGCTGAAAAAGGAATTTCAAAACATAACCTCATAATTTAAGAAAGTTTATGAATTTATTTTCTTAAAGTTTATGCATTTGTGTCAAGCCACATTCAAAGCTGTCCTGGGTCGTATGTGGCCCATAGGCCATGGGTTGGACAAGCTTGCCATAGAGGGTGAGATCACATTCATTGAGAACAGCTGCTTTAGGCTTCCTTTGAGTCGCAGCTTACTCCATTAAGACTGAAGAATGCTGGGTCTAATCTGGACCTGGGTTTCCTATAAGACATAAAACACTATAACACAGAAGAAGGATAGAGCTTCACCTCTGTTTCATGAATTATTGTTTCATTTCATATTTTAAAGAGAAAAGTTGACTTGGATTATATCTGAATAAAATAGCAAGGAGTATTACTTAACAGTGCTGCTGCTTTTTTTTTTTCCTGCCAGCCAAAAAAAGTTAACTGTGATGGTTGTGGTTCTTCCATTATGGCATTGTTCTGGTGTACAGACTCAGAAGCTGTCACTTATCTATGAGTGACTGCATGTCAGGTTTCTTGAGCTGTCATTAATGAGGTAAAATTATTCTTTGATGGCGGTGGCCATATGACAAGGACTGAGAAGACAAGGATCCCTGGATTCCAGATGACTGCCGCTTAGTTATTGCAACAAATAGTGTGTTTCAATACATTTTCCTTATAGATCTTATTTTCCATCTCTTACTTAGTATTGTAATTTCCTCTAAACTTACATTTTCCAAATCTTTCTCAAGTAGTGATAACCTCAAACATAACATATGGCTATAATGCACACCCTAGTAAATAATAACATAAACACTGTTAATATGCACTGAAAAACCGTTCAAGATTTCATACGAAATGAAATGCTCTGCTTCATGTTGATTATCTGTATACTTCACTGACTTGGGTCAGGATTTAGGACTGGTTAATGGAATGTGGAGGAGATGGCAGAGTATAGTTTTGCTGGACTAAAAGGTGGTGAAACGTTGCCAGATTAAAATAATACCTTTTAACATTTGTTCTGAAACTAGTACTTGACTATTTGGTGCTCCTGACATGACTGCATACTGTTATTTTGGATGCCGATGGAAAGAAACACAGCAGACTCATTGCTTACTCATTCATTCATATATAGTGCGTTTCTTCCTAGATTTAAAAAGGATACATACATATGTATCTTCAAAAAGCCTATAAAAGTCAATTACTATGTTTATCCAATGAAGAACTACTTTCTTAACTTTAGAACTTCATTTTGGGAAAATTCTCACTTTAAGAAGTAGTAGACATTTTCCATCTTTCCTCCTTAAGGTTGGCTGAGCGTGATATGGAAAGAGGTGATCAAGTGTGACAGAATCTGTCCTTTGCCTATTCCAGTTGCTTCCACTATAATTTTAATTGCTAGACATCAGGGCTTCAGATACTTCAACTAAATGTCAAGAGACAAGCCTTATGAATTACAGAATATTGTTGGTATATAAGCAAACATGTAAATAGACACTTTGCATCATTATCTAATTTTTAGAAACCAGCCTATTTTTAGTTCTCAGTGTTGAACACATTTAATACACATAGTTGAGGTTATCTGTTTATAGTATTTCAAGTTCTAGTCTATTTAGAGCTGGTTACAGTAGAATCAAAGGCAAATGATGTTATTAAAACTCAAAGCTAACAGTTATAATATAAATATAATTAGGTACTGAGATCTTTCTAGTGTGTAATGTTATGCTCCTGTCAAAACTGGGAATACTAATTACAGTGGAAAATTAGAAAATATTTTTCCTGAATCTGGGATTAGTTTCCTCCTCTTTTTCACCTTCCATTTTTATTCATGAATTTTAAAAAAATTACTGGGCATCAGCCATGTGCCAGATCCTGTTCTAAACACTGAGATAATAATGTCAGTGAACAAGTCACACAAAGTCTCGGCCTTGGAGTATTTACATTTTAGTAAGGCAGACAATCAATGTAAAAATACTTCAATCAATTTTAGGCAGATGGAAAGTTGATTATGTGTCAACTGCTATGAGAAAAATATAAAACAATGAGAAGGATTGGGGATGGAGGAGGGGAGCTGTAGTATTTCCTCTGTGGTCAGTGTAGGTCTCACTGAGACTGTGCTAGACATTGGAGCGAATATTTAATTAAGAGGTTAAGGAGGAACCAACCCAAATGCCCTTTGATGATAGACTGGACAGAGAAAATGTGGCACATATACACCATGGAATACTATGCAGCCATAAAAAACGATGAGTTCGTGTCCTTTGTAGGGACATGGATGAACCTGGAAACCATCATTCTCAGCAAACTGAAACAAGAACAGAAAATCAAACACCGCATGTTCTCACTCATAGGCAGGTGTTGAACAATGAGAACACATGGACACAGGGGAGAGGAGCATCACACACTGGGATCTGTGGAGAGGGAACTAGGGAAGGGACAGCAGGGGTTGGGGAGTTGGGGAGGGATAACATGGGGAGAAATGCGAGATACAGGTGATGGGGAGGAAGGCAGCAAACCACATTGTCATGTATGTTCCTATGCAACAATCTTACATGTTCTTTACATGCATCCCAAAACTTAAAATGCAATAAAATATATATTTAAAAAAAAAGAGGTTAGGGAATGCTCCTGCCTGTAGCTGGAACCTAAGGAGAGAAACAGCCATTGCAAAGACTTAAGGGTGAAAGCATTCTTGACACATTTGTGTACCCAAAGGAGTAAGAAAGACCAGAGGAGAGTGAGCAGGGAGAGGAGTGAGAAAGGAGCTCACAGGAACCGGACCCCTAGCCCACTCTGTAGACAGGGCTTTTACCTTTAATTGTTTTCCCATGACACACAACTTTCCAAGAAAGCTTTCCCCGCTTTTCTTACTTGGATTTTTTTTTTTCTCTATTTTCATCATTCACATTCCCATTTGGTCAACCTGTCTCCTTCCCTCTCTGTCATTGTCTGTACTCTCCCAGCTGTTATCTTCTCATACTATTGCGATTTCTCCTGCAATCTTCAGGTAGGCAGTCCATAGGAATCATAAACCCTCATTTACTGAGTTCTTACTCTGTGCTCAGCAGGATGCATTAGATAGAGTCTAGTTTGATCCCATTTTTGCAATAACTCCCTTATGCTGGGAAGTATTACTGCACCTATTTTTTTGGATGACAGAGAGATAAAGTTCAAATATCTCTGTTTATGTTGCATAAAATCAATGAGGTTTGAACCCCAGTTGGTTTGACTCCATACACAAGATAACACCAAGTTATATTGTTTCCTGGGTTTTTGTATCCCCAGCTCAATTCAAAAAGTATTTCAAACATTGGGTTTAACAAAATAGGACTCCCATATTTATTTTTTCAGTGTTAGAAGGCACCTTGGAAGTCATTCTATTTAAACTTCCCCCAATATTTGAATGTGTTTTATACTATCTCTGTTGAGTGGTCATCAAGCCTCTACATAAAAGCTTCCAACAACAAAGGATTGAAATAATAGTTTTTTAAAAAATACCTTGCACTATGATGTAACATAGTTCCATGATATTCCATTGTTCTGCCCTACATAAAACTGGAAGCTATTGATTGTGATTTTTCATATAATCATATTGAAAAGCTACTGTCACCTTTCCATTTTTCTTCTTTTCTAAATGGTATGTTGTCTTAGTCTATTTCAGTAAGTGTTACATTTTTTAAACTAACTTAACAGTATACCTTTAGGTGTATTTATGGTTTGTTTTTTGAGACTAAGTTGTAGCAAAGACACATATAGGAAATGGTAAACTGTCTTGCCTTTCTTTCTACTTCAAAACAAACACAAATAGTAAATTAGGAACCAAGAAATGATTTATGAATTTTGATCTTGTCAGAGAACAAGAATGATTCACATTTTATTTATTTAAAACAGTTTGCTATAATTATCACAGTTTTTAAAATCCAAAATGCTGAGTCAATTCCATTCCAGGTACTCAGTTCTTTGTTTTATTTTTCCACATAATCTCATATAGAAATAAAACAGAGCAGAAATCTGAAGAGAGAGAAAGAGAGAGAGAGAGAGAAAAAAAGAGAGAGACAGAGCATGAGCCAATTCTAGATTTCAGTGGTTAACAGTGGTCTCGGATATGTGACAGTAAGAATAGCAACCCCTCCGGTGAGTCCTGGAATGCTGAAGATTTCCTGACTTGTCATTTCTGTACCAGAATTGAACCACAGGAATAGGCAGTCTCTAA